AAAAAAAAAAAAAGAAACTTTAAATACCCACAAGTCGTTAAGAGCGGTTAAATTGGAAAACGATTGTGGTATCAGACCTTGGAATGAATTTCCCTGTAACCTCCTAACAACCATATATAATAAACACACTGAAATTAGTACAATATAAATTTTTAGAAAAAAAAAAATAAATATGTGCAAAAATATTAAGGAAAAAAAAAGAATCCTCACAATGTAGTTAAACTGGACCAATTCCCAATGAAGTCAGGTATTCGACCCGTGAGCTCGTTATCTGAAGCCCACCTAAAGCACCAAACATTCATATTCGGCACGTTAATTCGTGTGATGAGGTAAATCGACAGTATTATGTTCGGCTGTTATGATTAAAAACTTTTGGAAGAGGAGAAGATTAATTATTATCAGCTGTACGTCGGTCTTACATAATCTCCATGCTCCGTAGATTAGCAAATGTTTCAGGAATTGGACCGCTAACTCCAGAACTATCAAAGTACCTATTCAAATATGAAAAAAAATAAAATAAACAAATAAATAAAATAAAATAAAATTATTACAAATATAAAAAGGGAAATAGTAAACAAGTATTTGGTAAAAAAATTACTACATTTGGGTAAGTCTAGATAAACTTCCGAGCTCGGGTGGCAAACGGCCGGTGAAGTTGTTCGTGCTAAACGACCTGTATAACAATAAACGTAACATATATATATACAATCATAGTTGATATATATCAAGTTCGATAGAAACTTTTTCCAATATTTTCGAGTAATAATTTATGAAACATGTGATTATTCTTAACAACACTTCTTACTAAAAAGAATGAAATTTAAGAGAAACTCACAATACTATCAAGTCGGTCAGCAGCCCGAGTTCTCGAGGGAGCTGTCCCGATAATGCGTTTATGCCGAGACTCCTAATGTAGTAAAAAAAATTCACAATATTTTCAATATCATAACACCATTTTATACATAAAATAAAATAAAAGGAGATTAATTTCATTGCCATACAAGTACTGCATGCGCGTGAGATTGGCGATGGATGCTGGAATCGGACCCGTCAAATAATTTTGACCTAAATTCCTACAAAATGAGATGAATATTGAATTCCAATATATCATAATAATAAATTAAAGAAAAATAAACAAAGGAATTAATATAATCGAACGCACAAATTAGTGAGAAATGTCAAATTCCATAGCTCGTCAGGAAGTGGACCGAATACATCAAGAGCATACACTCTCCTGCAGAGTTAATAAAACCATATATACTATAAGTCTATTATAGGATCAGTCCGTTTTACGCTATGTAATATATATAACTAAAATTCGAACGTGAAATATACATGAAAAAAAAAAAGCGTACAGTTGTGTAATGTGGCAAGTCGAACCATTATTACTAGTGCAATCGCATTTTATGCCGGGATTTATATTGTCAATCGGAGTTTGATCAATGGCTATACCGCTACACAATTCGCCGCTAATGTTCCAATCATTTGAAGCCGAAATCCCC